AACCCATCGCATGAAAAAAGCTGTAATTAGCTAATTGGTGATTAATCGAATATGAACTCGTGACGTTTTGGTGTTAAACATTTTTTCCTTAACCCGCGCCCTGCTGGGGGGGTGTTTGAACACCCCCCTTGTGGTTTTCCGCGAATATCTAAAAAACGGCGGCGCGGAGCGCCGCCGTTTTTGGTACACCTTATCATACATCAATTCTACACATGTCGTGAAAATTTCAGACCAAGGTCAATCAAGGTCAGGTCACCAGGTCACTTGAAGTGACCTCACCTCATAAACAGTTTCAATGTCTGTCATAGCTACACCGAGTGACCGATCGCTTTGAAACTTTCAGCGATTGCAAAGAGCAATAGCATGTACAAAATGTATATCTCAGAATTTTGATATCGATGACCTAAGGTCAGGTCAATTTTGCGACCTCCCCATTATAAGTCAATGGGAGAAAATTGAAATGCGCCTCTTTTGGACGAAAGACATTATAAACACTCCCAAACACCGAATTACAAGTGGTTTAGACACACTGAACATGAAAATGGTGTCCGTGACCCTTGTTTATGCCCTGACTCCTGAGGTCATCTTAGGTCACGAATGGTATCTAACAGTTTTTCGCAAATAACTTTTGATAGAGGCATGCTAGAGCGATGAAAACGCCTTAGATGTGTTCAGCTAGACGATACGGATCGACTGATATGCAACATGACGCTTTCCGGTCAGGTCATGACCTTGACCTGAGGTCAAATTTTCAAGTTGACCTTTCAAGGTCAAGTTATAGTTCATTCGATGTGTCTTGACGAGAGGAACACGATGCCGGTAAAAGTAAGCTCGTGCAAGGCTTGGGTCAAAAGTTATTGCAGAAAAACTGTTTCCGAAAAAATCGGCTATTTTTGCAGTTTTTGCCCCCTGCAGGCAAAACCGTTGACGTTAGGTCAAATCTGAGAGAAATACTCAGAAAGGGCGTTAATAGGGCTATCGAATGCGCTTTTCCGCGGCGCTGTAGCTCTATTGGTTCCCGAGTTATGCGTTGGCTTCTTGGAAATTTTCGACATTCGACCTGGAAATCGGCGAAATTTTACCTTTAATGACCTCTGGTGACCTGACCTTTGACCTGACCCAAAAATTGACCGAATTGATTTCGTCATTATTTTTGACGCTCTTTCGAACGCCGCCTACCGCGTATCGCTACGTGGCCCAGGAGCCGAGTTACAAGGGGGAGGGTGTTCAAACACCCCCCCCCCCAGCAGGGCGTGGAAATCCAGGACCCCCAGCCGGGCGCGGGTTAAAAAGTTAATGCTTTTCATAAACTTTTTAAAAAATTTATTTTAAAAATTTTATTTTCCTTAAAAAGTTTATGCTTTCAAAATTATAAGAGTTCTATAAGGGGATAGGACGACGGGGCATCGCAGGACAAGCTATGACCAACTCTTGTCCTTTGAGATGCTCATTGCTCATAGACACTCCATCTGGTCCGCGATGGCAAAATAGAGGTACCGCGGTGATCGCCAGGACTGGGCCACGATACAGGTATCCCGACGTAACCAATGGCAGCGACATTTTTACTTTTAACTGACCCATTGAAGGTCACATTTGAGCTGAGGACCAAGCGCGGGCATCAACGAGCTTGCGACATATGTATAAAAAATGTGCTGGTTCTGCTTAAAAAATGTTTTGACTGATGGAAGCAGCAACTTACAAGTGTGCTCTAAGATGGCAAAATGACGTGGCCAAGCAAGCGGTAAACGTAACCGGGAAGATGCGCAGCGCCCGCCGTGACCATTTCTATAGACATCCGTGTAAAGAACGTGCTGCGTTTGACCTGTTTTGGAACTAGTTTCCTCATAAGCCTATTGACATCATCTTATTGACATCATCTTCACACGTGAGCCGTTACGTTGAAGCTCAAGTAATTCCTGGATTGAAGAGCTGAGTGGCCCTCAAGTCCCGCTCACAAGTGGCGAGCATTTTCCTACTGACATCAATGAGGCCTTTCGTAAAGATCCTTTGGCACGTGTGCTGGAGAGCCATCAACGTTGCGGTGACAGCACTAAAGCGTAAGGTTTGTTTGCAGTGCACGTGAGACCCACTCTTATACATTGGGAGCCTCCCGACATTGGTAAACACTGGAGTCTGATGACCGGGTCGAGCGGCGGTGGGCGCGCACGAGCCAGGCCCACGTCACCCCGCCGCCCAGCCGGCCTGCGCGCATCCACTCGGGCACCTGCTGGCGCTCCGTCGGTACTCACGCTCTCCGTTGGGGTCGGTGAAGACGGTGTAGTCGAAGCGCGGGATCACTCCCACCGTCAGACCGTTGGGAATCACCAGCGTCCGCTTCATTCTCGGCGACCGGCTCAGCGCCGAGCTGTTGGTCGCTGAGAAAGCTTGCGCGGCTCCCAGCAGCTGCGCCAGCTCCGGGTCCAGCTCGGGGTCCAGCTCCGGTTCCAGCTCCGGTGCTGACTCCGGGACCCGTCCCTGGCCGGCCCCTGGAGGAGGGGCTCGGTCGGATGGGCTGTTTGACCCGCGCCGCCTGCCGGCCCGGCGCGACCTCTCGTGTCCTCCGGCCGGCGCCAGGGCGGTCAGGAGGAGCGCGGCCAGCAGGGCCGTCCGCAGCAGCACCATCGCACCGCCTCCGGGCCCGTCCGCGGACAGACAGAGGGACGACTCCGGCTCCGCCCAGCCCGCCAGCCGCGCGGCTCTGCCGCTCCAGTCTCGAAAGTGAGCGCGATTTTGATGCGTTGCTTGGCCGGCGGAGCGCAGACGGTCTCGCAGCGGCACGGTTGGTTTCGCCACTGGTTAGCTGACGAGGGCAATGTTATGTCACCGAGTGACTGCCGGTGCCACGCGACACGACACGACTCTCGTGGAAACCGTCACCATGTGGGGTGAGACACGATTGGTGAGCCTGGCGACAGCCGACAAAGACGAGCGGATCCGAGCGCAGCGCCAATGATGATGTAGAGAAAAGCGCAATCAGTCACACGCGAGCAAAGAGTCAACCGTCCGTCAGAGATGAGGCTCAAAGATACTCTTCTGGAACGCCATTCACGAAAGGGCTGAGACGGCCATGCAACGCACGACGAGCCAACGACCACTGCTCGGTCAAGACTGCTTTAGCTAAGAGTCCGCCAGTTTCTGCACTACCAACATCTCCTATTATAAGGAACAGTCATTCTATCAGCGGCCAATCAAAGTGCACGGCCCCGATGACGTCACAATGATACGAAACCCACCGTGACATTCAGAAAACGCGCAAATATTCAGGAGACATTCAATGGTTGTGATGACTTTTTGCAGTCGACAATGACAACAGCGTCTGTTTATTGAATTTTAGTGCTGTCCCCTTCATTCATCAAATGCTAGCTTTTGATTCCATGGAACGCGAGCTCTATTCGTGTTACGCAGGGCAAAGACGTCTTCTTTGCGCGACGCACAACGCCACTGCAGGCATTGCCCCCACTCTTAAACGGTTCGTACAGATTATTGCAAAGACAACTCTGTAGGATGTGCATATTCATCCTTGGCGTGTTGCTGCGAAGCTGATAGCAGACATTCGTAAAAAATGGATAGTGCATTACAATCATACAACACTTAATTGCTTTGACTGAGCATGGCTAGCATCAAGGGCATGAAAATTACGATGCTTGCCGCTTACCTAACTACTAGTGCATTGTTATAAATGGGAAAACATTGCATCACTTTTTGTATTATTAGCATTTCATGGATCAGACACAATCCATCTGCTTTCACGTCTAAAAACAATATAAGCTGAGCGAAAAAGGTAAAGTATGAATAGCCTGAAGAGGCACAATCAGGAAAGCAGGAGACCCATTGTTCGTTTCGAATCGCATGCCTGATATAGAGATATAGAGCTGGTTAAATCTGGTCAAACCTCATCTTAGAGCCTCACCCTTGCTAATTAAATGCTCCTGTAGTTGTTATTCAAAGCATTCTGAGCAAACCGTCATAGTTATAAAAAAACATTCATAATCAACGTGGACTGTTTACCTCTGCCATCGATTACACGTATTTGGTTACTTATTTCTTCTTCGATTATTCCGGTCAGCAGCAGGTCGATGAAGTACTAATCGCGGTCGCTGCTGGTTACCCTCTAGCAATGCATTGATTCAGCGCCGAACATTTGTATTCAATGCATTGATTCAGCGCCGAACATTTGTATTTGAGGTCAATTACAACACGTTATTTTCCTTTCAGATTGTTTTATTTTCACTTTATTTTGATTGTGAGTTCTTGGTATATCAGTCACAAAAGCGAGCCGATATTTACCATGCACATTACGTGAGGCGTCACCATTCCATCCAGCCCACAATGTAGCTGAAATGGCATCGTGTGCGGTTTCGCAGGCGCTCTGAGTCGCTAACCGCGGGCAGACGCTGACGGAGAAAGTGTGATCACTGGGCCACTGACGCCGGCGTGGGTCATGGATCACGGTCCGACCGCGCCGGCTGCGCTGCCGGGCACGGCAGCCGCCGCGGCCCGGCGCGCCGCCTGTTTGACACTGCCAGCGACTGAACGGGGGAGGCGCCCGCCACCGAGCGTGTACCGCTCTGACGTATTGCTCTCATATTGCAGAACGGAGGCGAGCCCCCGGCGTGAAATGAACACTGATGGCCGATTTGTGTGAGCTGGCCTACACATGCAACGTGTCTGTTATTGTACCACATTAAATGATACAACACAATCGAGAAAAATGGAGAATAGCACTGGTCGTCATGAGCATAGAGATCTTATATACAATCTTATATGCAATTCGTCTGTGCCAGTGCAGCAGTGCTAGGTAGCAAACCGGCATATTGCGTGCATACTGCGGAGCTCATTTTTAACAAAAAGAACAATGTCATTGCCCATTGAAAGGGCCAAGTGCAGAGACTTCCTGTCATATCTCTTCAAACTGTCATAATGAAACAAGCGCTGTTTTTTGTTAAATGAGTTTATGTGAATGTCTTAAGTTGTGTAGACCTATAGGTACTATTTGCGAGATCACTAATAGAGCTTTTATGCACTTAATATTATCAACAGAAGAGCCTGAGCGATTTGGTAATAGCCAAACAAGCAAATACCTTTCATTGTCAAGATCCTGATATTCATTAACCCTTTACAATGAAAATATATCGGACTTGCAGGGACTTAACTATGTTGCAACAAGAGAGAGTTCTGGCAAACAATATATAACCTAATAACAATATTTCTAACAATGTAGGATATGTATAACCAAACATTTATAGTCTCTGAGCAGATTCTTTTGAGACACTAATGAGCCAATCAGGGATTTTCTCTTATCAGCCCTCAGAGCAGATTAGCCCTCAGAGCAGGTCGGCCCTCATGGCAGGGCGTCCTTCTGGGCAGTTCGGGGTCAGAGCAGGTCGTCACTCAGAGCGGGCTTCAGCCCAAATAGTCACTCAGAGCAGGTCGGCTCTCAGAGCAGATAGTCCTCAGAGCAGGACAGCCCTCAGAGCAGTTCGGCCTTCAGCCCAGATAGTCACTCAGAGCAGGTCGGCCTCGTCCAGCAGGTCGAACAGCGAGCCGGGACACAGGTGGTAGATGCTGCCGCACTCGGAGGGGTCGGCCGAGCCGAGCCGCCGCGCCCGCGCCGCCTCCTCCGTCAGCTCTGCGGCCGCGCCCCCTCTCTGACCCTCCTCCGGCAGCCTGAGGGAAGAACACAGCTGTGTCAGCTACATCGGCACAGAAAACAGGACTGTGGGGCCGTTCATGACCTGCATGTCATGAAGGCTTGATCCGCTGTGCGATTCTGCACCGTTAGACCAATGTAGCCAACTCATACACCCATATATCGTGATGAATCCTGATTTCTGCGCAGGCTGCACACAAGTAACGTCCTTTCACACACGTCATATGTGGTATAAAGCGTTGACAGGTAAATTGAATGACACATGAGATGAATATATTAGCAGGTGTGCGAGCTGACTAAGAAGTGCCACACACGATGGACTGGGCTCACCGAGTCATCTACCGCAATGGAACTGCTTGTTATCCAAGATGACAAAGAAAACTGTGAAACCGGGACGTCTTACCTCCGTTATTGTCCCCTGATTACGGACAGCCCCCGCGTGCTGAGCGAGTCCTCGGGAGGAGGAGGGCTGGGGACTCACCCGATCAGCAGCTGGAGGACCCTGGTCACCAGAGGACTGTCCCCGCGTGCTGAGCGAGTCCTCGGGAGGAGGAGGACTGGGGACTCACCCGATCAGCAGCTGGAGGACCCTGGTCACCAGAGGACTGTCCCCGCGTGCTGAGCGAGTCCTCGGGAGGAGGAGGACTGGGGACTCACCCGATCAGCAGCTGGAGGACCCTGGTCACCAGAGGACTGTCCCCGCGCCGACCGGCGGCCTCACACAACGTCCTCAGCAGGCACGGGCGACCCGGCAGACCGAACCTGAGGCACGGGAATAGCGAGAATCAACAGTGTGTGCATAAAACATCACTGCAGCCGGGGTGGGGCTGAGAGGGAACGAGATGTTTGGCATGCTTCATCATAAATGCCATCAGTCTTGTATATCATTTTAAAGTCGTGTATTGCTTTCAACGGGACCTTCCTATATTCGATGTTAACCTCAGAAGCGTCACTTCTCACTCTTCAGACAGACCGGTTGCTGAACGAACTGCGTTCATCCAATGTTTGGCCGCACAAACGGACACTGTTTGCAGCGCTCACTGGAAGACTCGGTTTTCCAGCACTCGTTAGGTGCCCACGAAGCCGGAATTGTAAACAGACCAGTGTGCACAGCCCGGGAGCCGGACAGATGAAGAGGGTGAACGAACAAATGAGGCTACTTTTTCAACAAGCCCAGTAGTTTTTATCGGAGAGCAAATCATTTTTTATCTCGACTGTCATAGGATGAGATGTGGAGTGTTTCTGCGGACTGGCGTCTGACCTACTCCGATACGAATTGCACAATGCACAATTCTGATTCATGATTGAACTCAAATATGGAGTGAATTTTTCTTTAACACAATATGGAAGGTATACCGTCTTGTACCTAGTAGTTATGCATGGCAGGAATGTGCGATAGATAGGCGTGCTAAGTATGCGCGATAATTATGCGTTATAAGTTCCTTCCGACACATGCACGACAAAAGTGCTCGTCGAGCATGAGCGCTAAGTAATGCCTGGTTAATATGAGCACTAAGTAATGCATGACTATAGATGCGCGCTAAGTAATGCGCTCTGCTCGACACCCATCCTCGATGTTGGAAAAATAGGAACAATTTAATCTAAATAAAAAACCGTCAAAGCAAACGCACCTTTCTTCCTCCCAACCTAGCCAGCAAAGCGAGATCGGCCGTCCTACCACATTAGCCCTTTTCACGATGAACATTGCGTATCTATCTGATTGAAATTAAATCCAAGTGAAGAAGTAGAGCAATCAACATTTCGTTCGGAAGCTGGAAATCCGACTATGTAGTAATTAGCTGCTTTTTGCACATCACGGATCAAACGGATCAAATATGTATATGGTGCCTGTAATGCTCCGTCGTAAAAAGGGGCTATTGCTATCCGTATATGGATATCACGCTCTGAGATTTACCCTACTCACCCCTCGATGGCGTCTTGCAGCTGATCGTAGACATCGACCAGGTCGTCGGCGCGCGATCGGGCGCCCTCGATGTACTCGAGCTGGCGCGAGCTCTGGTCGAGGGGTACTGCCACCGGTACCCAGGTCACGTTCAGCTTCCCGGCTGTCGGCACCGTGCCACCGTCAGAGCCACGGACGGAGGGCACGCGGCAAACTCCACAGTCATAAAGTCAACAGAGCTCAGCGGCAGAGGCGCCAGTGGGCCAGTGATAATTTATACAGGTGGCGGGAAACTGCGCATGTGCTTTGAAGAGACTCACAATAAACATGATGTGGATGGCATTGCTAACAATAAGTGTTATGAATGTTTGAGGGTGTTTACAGCTTTATGTTTTCTGGGATAAGTTTACGTGTCATTTGTACTCTTAAAATAATGTCCTCGTTTATCAAACGTGTCAGAGAAGAAACAAAAAGAAGCATATCTATAGACAGCCGATCCAGTTTTTTTTTTAACAATGAGCAGTAACGGCGGAACACCTTCAATTATGGAGGGAGGGGGGGGGGGGTACCGCTGACTTTTGGTCCCATTCTTTCCATGCAACGCCCATAGGGCTAATGTTAAAATGCCAAAATCAAAGGGGGGCACGGTGCCCCGGTGCCCTCCCCGTTCCGCCGCCTATGTCAATGAGTATGCACTCTAACTCTCAGAGGACTTCTTACCTCCTTGAAAGACCCTTCCCGAAGTCATAAATCTTTCAGGTGCCCTTCCCGACGTCACTTCTCCCTGAGAGGTCCGCAACTTACTGAGAGGTCCTTCCGTCACCTCCGACACCCCAACTCACTGAGCGGCCCCTAACCGTCCCCGTGACTCACTGAGCAGGGAGCGGCCCCTCCGACCTCAACTCACTGAGCAAGATCTCTCCTATCCTGACTCACTGAGCGGCCCCTTACCGACCCCCTGACTCACTGAGCGGCCCTTACGGTCACTCTGACTCACTGAGCGGCCCCTTACGGTCACTCTGACTCACTGAGCGGCCCCTTACAGTCACTCTGACTCACTGAGCGGCCCCTTACGGTCACTCTGACTCACTGAGCGGCCCCTTACAGTCACTCTGACTCACTGAGCGGCCCCTTACGGTCACTCTGACTCACTGAGCGGCCCCTTATCGTCACTCTGACTCACTGAGAGGCCCCTTACCGTCACCCTGGCTCACTGAGAGGCCCTCTCTAACCCTGACACACTAAGCGGCCCCTCGCCGTCACCCCAACTCACTGAGCAGTCCCTTGCCGACCCCCTGACTCACTGAGCGGCCTCTTACCGACCCCCTGACTCACTGAGCGGCCCCTCGCTGATGATCGGGGTGATGAGAGACGTGGTCAGGGACAGCGAGCTGCCCGTGGGAAACCCGAACAGGAGGCGGGACTCGGCGCCCAGCGCCCTGGCCGTGCTGCGCAGCTGCTCCGGCGTCAGCTCGGCGCCGGCGGCCTCAGTCGGCGTCAGCAGCGTCACCACCAGCGTCAGCAGCGTCAGCAGCGCCGGCACGGGCTCCATGGCGGGGCGTCCGAGAGCCCGCTGAGGTCCACCAGTGACGCGGCGACTTGACGTGACAGGATACAGACGACCACCAGCCGAACCGGGTGCCGCTGGCGAGTGACGCGTGTGACGCCGGCGTTGGCTCTCGGTGACGAGTGACGGACGGGGCCGGTGTGACAACTCGCCACCCGTCCACTGCCGCCGGGGACGGCCATTCAGGTGCTAATGTGAGGTGTCGCCACGGCCCGCGGCGCTCGGAGGACGCCGCCCCTCGGCAGTGTCTCGGGCGCGCCGCTGTTCCGCCCCCTGACCGCGGTCTGTCGGCTCGGCTGCTCGCTCTCCGCTCTGCTGTTACATCAGCGGAGAAACGGCTTCGTAGCCGAGAAACGGGCGAATTCAAAACGATCTTCTGAATGTGAGCTTGAGAAATGCTAAGCCAAGGCCCTACATAAATGGCTAAGCTATGCTGGCTATGAAGAGAAACAGGGCCATGTTTTTGTGACGATGGCTGTCACTTATCAAAGGTCTATTGCTTCAGAAGATTATAGCGTCTGACGTTCACATTTTATCGGTCTGCCTTTCAGTGGCGGCGGAAGCAGGGGGCAAGGGGGGCAGCTGCACCCTAAAGCTATGGAAAGGGGGGCCTCGAAAATCTGTAGAGGAGGCAGGAAGTTAAGAGGTGCGGCAGCCATAAAGCTGAGCAGTGCGACACCGCAACTGATAAAGGCACTTGTGACACGAAGAGGGTGGCAATGACGTGGGAAAAGTATCTTTTGATATGCTGAAGAGTGGAGGGCATCCTTATCTGAAACAAAGGCAGATGCTGCCGACCCTGTCGAATATAATCTTGCCAGGCGATAAAGGCTAGGAGGGCGCAGCCACTCGAGAAGCGCGCCATGCGGAAGAGGGGCGCCTGCATGCGAAAGAGGGGCGCCTGTGTGTGGGACGAAAAAGAAACATTTATGGAGACGTCTTTGAAGGCGATAGCCTCCGAACGCCAACACGAACATATGAGGGCTTATAGCGTTGCAGGCTCCATGCGACAAAAAGGGGCGCCTGATGGCCGATATGCGAGAGGAAATTAGGTAGTTTGTATCGCATTTATCGGGGGCGGTTTGCCGTTTACAACATATGAATGTTAAGGGAGGTCCGAGATTGGGGCCTGTAAAATTGCACTGTCCGTATGGGCGGTTACACCCCTAGTGCTAGGGCGTATTTTGCGTTTTTTTTTTTTACTGGGGAGATGATTATGACCAGGAATAGCACTCTGCAAACTTCTATGGGCGCCTGTATAGGGGCGAAACTGATTTTCCAGTGCAGGGACGGTCATCGGCATTGTGGGGCGGCATTCATTCCACTGGGGCGTCTGAGACGCCCCAGTGTCCCCATGTGACACATGGGGATGGTAAGAAGGGCTTAGAGCTTAGCGGCTAAGAAGGGGCTTATTGACAATATTCTTGACCAGGACTGCACGAATGTGGCAGCACGTTTAGGTCTACGAATGATGTTTAAAGGTTAAGTAGTGGACGTTGATGCGACCATGACGTGATCGATACAATGCTGCGCTTTCCTCTCCCTTTTCGCCCTAACAGATATAAACGGCGCATTTTCAGTTTTCACTCGTCTAGCGTTATACGTATATGCGTAATTATGCGTTACATAAGAGCTTATCTATACCTGTGCGATGCTGCTGCCCTAGGGTGCCCTAGTTAGTGTGCCTATTGCCACTTGCACCTTGAATATTATTCGAGGTAAGATTCCGTAATACCAGGCAAAGTGAAATAAATATGTCGAATTAAACGCCCATCTCTGGGAAAGACATGAGTGAAATCAAATATTATTGAGCGAGAAGAGTCCAGTTTTCCTCAAATTCGACCGACTCCGGCACACGCTTATATATAGTCACATATAGTCATTATATAGTTATAGTCACATCTATCGGTAGTTAGTGGCAAAAGTCACGCCACAGGTCAGGTGAAGTCGGTGATCGGATCGGGCCGTGACGAGGGCTCGTTACACCCTACACGCTCGGCTTTCAGCCCTGTCGTCTTCCCGGAATTCCCCATGAATGGAACTGGGCTCTCGAACTGCTCAACAAGTCTAGGATGGCATAGGTTTGTAGCTGGACAAACGTCCCAGCTCTGGCGCGCGCAGCGGCCCCCATTCCTGCCCCGGCGCGCGGTGTGCCCGAGAGGCGTCTGGGGAGCTGTGCCGCCGCGCTAGACCAGGCTGAGCGGTGTGCCGGTCAGCGACAACAGGTCCTTTGCCGGCGCAGGTCTGCTCAGTCATTGAAAATATGTACAGTCCACAGCAGGAACATTATGAAGGTTACATTTAAGCTATGGAATGTACCTAACTATTTCTCGTTACATAAAAACTGTAATTCTGAACGTGTTAACAGGTACAACACATTGTCAAGCGTCTCTTCACTGTTTGTGTTACTACAACCATGTATATGGTAAGGGGCGCATATATAGCGGGAAGGGGCGCTTCAATATCGTTTGCACCCCTATCCTAGAATACCTTCCGCCGCCACTGCTGCCTTTGGTTTTCGTGAGCTGTGGCGAAAGACTAACATTTTCTCATTCGGTTACTGCTTATACCTACAGAATAACAGGACTATCGCAATGTCAATCCCATCATGTTGCTAAGTTGTATATTCTTGCTTATCTACAAACCATTTCTTTTGTTGTCATTTTTGAAAGCTCATATATTATATGCCACCATTATACCTACTCTAAACCAGTTCATCCTTCGTACCTGCACCAAACATGCTCTAAGCGACAAATATCTTGTATGTTGGACATTTTATTTTACCATGTGGAGCAGTTAACGTTTTGCTGCGCTGCATTTATCTTTGATTTCGGATTTCTGTTCAGATGTTTGCTGCATGAATTGTAGCAGCCAGTAAATCGTTTGTACGTTATAGTAGAGCATAGGTACCAAGCAGCACTTGTTTTTTGCCATTTTTCAGCACATTATCGACGTCTATATATTAGGGGAGACCCGGGAGGTATGGGCCCCCTGGAGGTATGGGCCATCGCAGTTTTGAAGAAGTGTTGCGTATTTTTACACATTTGACGGCGTTAACTGGTAGCAGCCATTCCGTTATACATCCCAAGTGATTTTCAAAATCTTCCTCAGTCTTCTTTGGCAATGAGCGGTGATAAAGCGTTTTTGCCCTCTTCGAGTAAAATACGGTACATACAGAAAATTCGTGATAAATTTGAACCAGGCTCGTTTTAGGATGTCAGATCATCGCTAACATATAGTTTAAAGCATGCAAATTAAGACTGGATAGACAATTTGAAGCTTTCTTGCAAGATTATGAGCTGAGATGCTATGCACATTTTGGCGTCCTAACCGGGAGGTTCGGGCCACCCATCGGCCGTTGATCCTAAATAAATAAAACGATGCTTTCATTGAATGTCCCCGTCAATAAGTTTAATTTTTGTCGCGCAAGGTCGAAATTTTAACTTCAAATTTCATTAAAACAAAAAATATTATTGATCTTATTTTATGGTGCATGCTTGAGTTTACCAAAATACATATGGGCCCACGTCACCTCCATGAAGTAAGCTGTTGGCCGCTTATGCGGTTCCTGGGCTCTAAGAGAGATTAAGGTAGATACCAGCTATGAGTATTTTTCTCATTGTCGAGAAAACAATGTGAAACATGGCACCGGCCCATACCTCCCGGGCCATGGCCCATACCTCCCGGTGTATTTTGATGGATCGAAAAGGCACATGATTTATTGAAAGTTATCTCGAGACGAAATAGTTGATCCCAGATGCCTAATATCAGGCACACGTTGCAGGCGAAAGGCAATTTCACGTACACAGAGTGAAAAACCGGGTCTAGCCACTGCCCACTGGAAGAAAATTGCCTTTTCACAAAACCGGCCCATACCTCCCGGGTCTCCCCTACGCCTTTTTGCTCGTGCTAATTGTCATGTCATTTTGTAAACAAGAAGTAGGATCTTCTCATAGCTTGTAGTAAACAGCGATTTCGAAAGCAAGTTACTTTGTCGCGGCGCCGCGTGGGCTGCCATGCACGACACTGCTATGTGCCTTTTGTCACCTCCGGCGCTGCACTGAGCTCGGGGCCCTGCGCTGCGCGGCCCTCGGTGAAACCGGCGGCACCACCGAGCCCTGAAATGTGACAGACGCGCGTGAAAGACGCCCGGGCGGTGTCCAAAATTCACACAAAGGCAGCGACAATGTCACAGAGAGAAGAACGCCCGACCTCTTATGCTAATGTCAGACGAAAGTGTGTCTGGGAGGGAGGGCCGGAGGTGTTTCGCGGGGCACGGGTCGGGAGATGTGCTCCCTGCAGTCGCCACCGTGAACTCGGGCAGTTCAGAGGTCAGTTGCTCGACACATAGTGGTGCGGAAGACTGAGCAGGTGCACCCAGTGAACAGCATGCTGCACGTCAAATCACAGGTCAGTGCATTGACGGCATGGAGTTGGATAAGGAGATGGACAGGTAGTCAGGTTTTAAACGACATCTGTAGAAAGTGGGACGTCTTTTTTTGTCATTGTTTCACAAATTTAGTGAAAACCCGTTTAATGAACCCCTTTACAATTCTCTGTTTAACATTTGAATGATGTTACCATGCGGTATTTATTGGTCATTTTGTATGGTCTTATTCGTCCGCACTGCGCCCTGTATCTGCCCGATGTGTATCACCCTGGACTACCACACGCACAGACCCTCCCCCTGCCCTCAGACGCGGTCGCGGTGGTTACCAGCGCTGGCTCTGGCGCTGCTGGTGGCCGCCCAGCCCAGCGGCGCCCAGCTGAGTATTCAGCAGCTGACCTCGCTGCTGGCCAGCCAGTGGCGGTCGGCCCAGCGCGGCGGCCGCGCGCTGGGCGCCGCACAGCTGCTGGCCGGGTCACAGCTGATCGTCATACCTAAACTGGAGATCACCTCTCCCACCGTGCCCAGAGACGGTACGTGTCCGACACGGCGGCACGAATTACCAATGAACCGAACTTTAGTCGTTATAACTCATGAATTCAAACATGAAGAGCGAAAATGAGCTAGTCGATTGTTTTAAATTCCAAAATGCCTCATTTCCCTTCTCTCTCTCTCTCTCTCTCTCTCTCTCTCTCTCTCTCTCTCTCTCTCTCTCTCTCTCTCTCTCTCTCTCTCTCTCTCTCTCTCTCTCTCTCTCTCTCTCCCTCCCTTTCTCTCTCTCTCTCTCTCTCTCTCTCTCTCTCTCTCTCTCTCTCTCTCTCTCTCTCTCTCTCTCTCTCTCTCTCTCCTTCTCTCATCCCTCCCAATGTGCCCACAGGAGGCTCGTTCCAGCTGTACGCCGACATCCCGTTCTCGCTGGCCGGCCTGGCCGGCGGCTCCGTGCTGTTCGCCGCCACAGACCGTAACGACAGCGTCACGTCACCGTCGCCGTCACCGCCGTCACCGCCGCCGTCACGGCCGGCCGACGCGTCCCCGGTCCGACCGCCGGCGCCGCCCGCCGACCCCACCGTCCCCCTGAGGAACCCAACCGTCATCATGTCATACGACCGCCGAGAGGACAGAGTAGCCGCCGACGGGAGGCGCGGCAGAGCGAGGGAGGAGGCGGCGCTGCCCGTCACCAGCGGGTTCCATGACGCCGCGCTGGTGATGCTGCAGAAAATGGGCATGGAGGGCCGGCCGTGCCTGCTGAGGGCGGTCTGCGAGCTGTCCGCCAGGCCGCTGAGCTCCAACGGACTGCTCGGAGACCTCGTCAACGCCGTGGTCGAGTGAGTAGGTATAACTATATCTAAGCGCCCTGGTCGAGTAAGTATATCCGATTACAGTGGCGGATCCAGGGGGGGGGGGGGGGGGGCAAAATGGGCATTTGCCCCCCCCCCCAAACGGCATGATTTTAACATTACGCCTATGGGCGATGCATGGAAAGAATCGATAAATTTTTATGGTTTGCCCCCCCCCCAAACCTCTGAGCTGGATCCGCCTCTGTCCGATTAGGACTATTATACGAAACATAATAGATACCCACATCATTACATTGAAAATCAGTTTCGTGTCGCGACGCAATCATCTGATATGAAAGACCACTTGGGTGTTCGAAATTTTTGAAATTGAAATGTTTGCACTGATGAAGCTACCCGATGAATAAGCACGAATCAAAGCTACCGGTTAAACGTTGGATGACAGCTATGGGCTACAGCATGTAACAAGCATGATGAACAAAATACGCGCCAGCTACCCGCAAGCTGGTGTCCCCCAATTATGATCTTTAGACGTGTTTATTGTGACGAGCATGGCTGAACGATGAAGTAACATTAAAACGCCCGTCAATGGTCAAATATCTATTCAAGCCACTGTACCTGCGACCGAGACAGAATCCTTTTTTTTTTGCAGGATTCCCTCAACCAGCGACAAAGTGCTGGAGGAGGAGCTGAAAGTCTCTCGGCAGCTGGGCCTCCGAGGGGCGCCGTGTACCGAGGTGTTCGACAACTGCGACAACTTCGTCATCAACCAGCTGGCCAAGTGATGGTCCTCTGGATCAGCCGCCTCGGGCGGCTTTGGTGTTACGGAAGCTTGCGCTGCAGCTTGCTATCGATGTTTTTCTGCTGAAATACAGCCTGTTGAATTGGGATTGTGCTGTTTATTTGTCAGCTTTGGGCACAGATAATAGTTAAAAATCCATCTACGAATAGAACAAGCCAATAAAATCGATGTTATTTTATCGTCATGAACTCTCTGACATATTAGATTCAACATGGTCTAGACACCATAAAGCAATAAATGACTTATCCGATCAAAGCCACATCAAAGTGTTTTTTTCAAATTAAATCAGTTACCATTGCCCAATGCACCATCGTTTGGATTATCATACCCTCTACATCTTTCGACAGGAGTTGCGACCCCATCACGCTTGGGCATGCACTTTCGCTGGAGAAAAAAGCGTCCAGCTCTCGACAAGATAAAGCCAACTGCCAAAGCCAAATAAATTTAACATCTCAGGTCCACTAATGACCCTAAAATTCAGGCTAATAGCCCAAAAATCAGGTTTTGGTTTTTGACGAGAAACCTAAGAAAAACGGTTCAGGCAAAAATAATGGAACAATAATTACCATATGTATATATTGTATGTATGTGTGTATGTATGTATGTATGTATGTAGGTATTTACGGCGTTAACGCATCCCTTTAGGTACTAGACCGAGGTCCAAGGGCTATTCTCGAGTCAGAGTCAAAATATATCGGCCATGCAATGAAGAGGAATAAAACACACGCAAACGTCACGCACGCCAATAAAAAGACATCAGTGCCGGATAGGACCCTCCAGCTCGGACGGCACACTAGTACAATACACTTATTGCTTCTGCTGTTCCGAAGCGTCGAATGAGTTTTTTTTAAGATCGATTTGAAGCTTAGCCAGTGGTCAAAGGTGACCTCAGGTGAGATTGGATGACCTAGACTTGTGGTGGATCATCTATTACGCATTCGTAGGTACTGATCACGAATCCGACATATAACTATGTTGCTTTCTGCTCGTAAAAAGCCTCTAAATTTTACAGTCTACATGGTCTCTGCAATGCAGCACCTCCCATGAATTTGACCTCGATGTACTCTTAGGTTCCTACAATGCATGGCTTTTACTTAGAATAGCAAATAACACTAAATAGCCATCCCCATTGCGATGCTGTTTATCATTAATGAGTTAGTATGCATTCTTATTAGTTATTATCCTCTCTCAAGTCTCAGTTCACGAAAACGACCATTTCAACCGACTATGACATGACAAGAGACTTCATAGCCCAGTGACCAGACTTAATCAAGTCTGGTATGGAACTTAACATACCGGTATGGAACTTAACACTTTTTAGAGAGCTATAAGTAGTTTTTTAGTATAACGGCCAAAGAGAGGATTTAAAGCTATGCGAAATGTCAGCGGATATTTTCTAATAGAGGAAGATCCGTAGCGGGATGAATGAAACCCTTGTACCAGCGAGGGTAAAAGTGACCGATAAATGTCCACCCCTGACTGTATGACGTCACATAGATGATTGACGTCACATTCCTCTGCAGCCCACCACAAAAATGCTGAGCTGGTTGTCATCACCTCCCGCCCCGCTATCGTCCAATCTACGGCCTCGTAACCCGTAAATATGGATGTAGTTGCGTCTACATTCACAAACAGCGCCTAATTTTATTCTACAAGAGCAACCCAAGCAATTAGCATAAAGCAAAAACACCCAAAAAAAGCTGTTTGTACCCTAAAGAAGCTGCGGTTGGTGACTGTCAAGGACGATAGCTTAATGCCTCGCTGACTGTTGTGGGTTTTCGCTAGCAAACTGCAAAGCGTTGCTTTGCTACACAGTATGGTTGCGAAAATGGACCGACCCGCGGCCGCAAAACTACTCTCATACTCTCTACTAACTACTCATCTCTTATTGACCGGTAGACAAATAATTACACGCTTTTACCCACGAAAATGTCTATTGTACAAATAGAAAATATGTAGACAAGCACACCTTTTAAAACATTTCTATCAGCGAGTTAATCATAAGTTTAACTCGTAAATGCATGACCGAATGAAAACAGCCATGTATCCTCTAGGCCGTCTTGTAAAACAACATATAACGTTCTAGGTATGCAACGATAACAGAAACATCACAATATTCCACCATGAAAGCACGAACATTTTGTCAGACTTAACTATATACGGATATCGGTACATGCATATAACATTTGATTAACTCAGCAGGTGGTTCCATGATCCACATCAATTTATGAGCTATTGAACATCTGTTCTTTTTCTGAGGATGCCATCGAGTGAATTCTTAATCAATAGGCTCTGAAATAAACAGTTCGATGGGTACTTTGTAAGGGATGCTACGTCTAGCAAGTATCGTTCTCTCTTGAGTGCGAACTATAGCAACACACGCTGACGCATATATGCCTCTATGAAATCCACTGTCGTATATAAGTAACACAACATGTTGACTTGTTCAATGTTCGTCAACATGATTGCAGCACTTCATGTCGACACCTAATTCGCAGCTTGTACATTTGCCATATTTCACGCTCATCACCTTCAGGCTTCAAGCACTACAGACTATAGAGAAAGGAACGCATTGTAAGAAAAATGTCATGGTAAAAACAAACTTATTACAACGGAGAGCGTCTAAAGGCAGAGGCCGTGTGATCAGACGAGCTGAAACACACTGACGGGGCAGGCCGAGTAGTACTCGTCGCAGCGTCCCACCGCCCTGCCGCGCTCCTCTGCCTTCTTGTACTCCTGCATCCGCTCTCCCTCGGTCGGCTCCATCGTTGTCCTGGAGAGAGGGCACAGGTCAGGTCAGGACACAGGTGACAGGTCCCACGTCAGCTCACAGGTCACGGATCATAGGAATGATGCTACAATGCGGGTCACCGGCTACAGGCTACAAGCCAAATGACAGGTCGGCTAATAGGTCCGGTCACATAAAAGTAAGTGAAATGTCATTCATAATCGCCTTCTTACTTCGCCTCGGGCAATAAGATATGGTTCTTTTTTCACCCTCGGGCTAGTTCGTTTTTTTTCACCCTCGGGCAAAGTTAATGACCGATGTGGCGCCACATCGGGCATTAGCTTTGCTACACAAAAGAACGGCCTTCCACCTTCCTGGGTGTCATTACATACACGGTCAGCCCTCGTGCCCGTGTCGTGTCCACCGACCAGTGCAGGCCGCCGATGCTGGCCGCCTCACCTGAGCACTGTGTTGAAGATCTCCCCCATGAGGCCGGCGTCCTGCACCGGGGTCTCGGCCACCTCACAGATGGTCCGCAGCACGCACATCTTGCCGTCCAGGCCGAACCTGGCACAAACACAGGGTGAAAATATGAAGGCACGTCCCATTCTTGCCTAAACTATTGAAGTGCAATACGCATAGAAACCTGCTTCTTAGCGTCAACATCGCCAAAATCGTGCGTTTCAAATACGTCGATTTCTATAAGACACAGAAGTGGCAGGAGCAAAATCATTAATAGGGCTATATCAATTGCTATTGACCCCTCTGGCTCTGCAACAGAATAGTGATGGCAGAAACATACTGAAGACGCAAAAAGTAACTATCCTCTGGATTGCAATTGCAATCATGTAAACCGCTGACCGCCGCTCCTGTTGTATCTCTGCGAGACTCACTGCGAGATGAAGGTCTCGGCGTACGAGTACATGCTGGCCTTGTCGTCATCCAGGCTTCGTCGGTAGTAGGTATAAGAGTCGTCTCCCTCCTCGCCGTCAGTGGTCTTGTAGCGCGCCGGGTCCGCCGAGGCCGTCGGCAGCGCGAAACTCAGCGGGACCTCCACGTTCAGCATCGAGCCTGGCGAAATATAGTGGCGAGTGAAGAGCCAAGCGATTGTAAAAGCGCATTTCTAGACAAAGATGCTAATTTCTATAAGCAAATCTTTGAATTTAGTGCGTCAGAAGTGCTTAAACCGCTAGTCATCCAAAAAACATACATTAATGACTTGATGACAATGCTCGCCACTTTCCGTACAACCGTTTTCAGGATGCGAGTTCGTTTACTGGCATGCGGGCCGGATACAAATGTCTGTCGAATAGTGCCCGAAGCAAGCTCACCAGCAGAGACGAGTCCCGGCAGCGGCATGGTGAACTTGGGCGTCAGGATGAAGGTGGCGCCGGCCGGCAGCGGTGCGAAGAAGCGCCTCCTCCGGGAGAGGGAGCGCGCAGACAGGTCTGTGCCGTTGCCACCCACTCGGCTGAACAGCTCAGCGTCCGCCGGCACACCTGGGTGGGCGGCTGGGGGCCGAGAGGGGGTCAGAGGGGGCATAACGGGGGACAGAGGGGGCCGGAAACATGTCAGAACAGATTATCATAATCCAAAATTGTCGAGATTTAAAGTTTAAATTTGAATGACAGTTGCGAACAGAGCGATTGGAAGCATGGTAAAGTATGGTTCGTCTGACATGCATGCAATCTCATGAAATGTCAATATTTGAGATTTGACAAAGAAAGGCCTGACTTGGAAGGCTTTCAAAGTAATAGGCAAGTTGTCGAGAGAGTCAACGTTTCATCCCACTGTCGTCTGTCCCATGTGACCGAGCGCAAAGTAGCATCCGTCGAGTCAGCGGTCAGCGAGGTCGAAGCTGACTGGAGTGAAGTTGATTGTGGTCTTGGAGTCTGAGGTCACTGTTAATAGAAGCGGCTCAGTCAGACTCAGACTTCACAAAGAACAGCTCACGTCCCTAGGCAAAATTGCGTGCTGGTTAGTAAAGCCGTCAACGTTTGTGATGTAGGCTACCTATGCCTATTGCATACGGTCATAGGAAATAGGCCGGCGTTGTGAGGTATTAACATGGGCGCAAGACGGTCTTACGGAGGTCTATGGAGGCCACTTAGATCCGCTACCCTTACGTAAGACATGAGCGGTTTAATTACAATGTAAGTACCATCTATTTGCGAAAAGTAGCATTTCTGACTGCTCAGGGTCACCCCTCAAAAAAAAGTATCATAGGCGAGCATCTTAGTCATCCCGTTCTCGCTGGCCGGCCTGGCCGGCGGCTCCGTGCTGTTCGCCGCC